GGTGAGATGGAGTCGTTTAAAAGCTGTGCGAACGAGATAGCGTGGAAAAGGCTCAGGGAGGAAAATAAAGAGCGCACGCTGACAGACACGTAAGCATATCTAAATAAGCGCACACAGGTTGACTTGTTTACACACCCAACAGCTGCCGTTTTACTTCTGTCATTTATGGAACGTTACATTTGGGATGCGAATGTGAAAGCGTGCTCCGACTGCTGTTATTGTCGCCCACAAGAAAAAAAAGTCTGGTACTTTTAATACAGACTCTTAAATTAGCTGTTATTATAAAGATTAGTTGAAATGAGGATACTGCTGTATTAGTAGAGCCACCCAGTTTTTAAGTTTTGAGTGATAGCTTGCCAATGCTCCTGAGGGATGGCTGAGCTACATTCCCTTGAAGTGATGATGACTGAATGTCAGTTCTAGAAAGACTAAAAAAAAAAAAGAAATGTTTCAGTCAAAGAGCCTCCATCTTTCTGTTCTTCCCCTCTCTCACGGGCCCAGTGATAGAAAAATATTGTCTCAAGAACCCGTGATGATCCCTCATGTCATGTAACACTGGTTGAATACTTCAGACTTCATTTTATAACTAGAGACTTGAATCTGTATTTTATTGAATGGCATCATATTGAAATGCCCTTTTCCCAAATTCATTTGGAAAAAGGGCATTGCAGCTCCCTCCTCGCGGAATCAGATGCAACATCTCTTAAAACTTTAAGAGCTGGTCTCGCTAAATGGATTTAAGGTGTTTTTAGGTAACCTTGAGGCAGTTACTTCAGGCTACAAATGTTTTTCATGAATACTACGACTCCTGTTTTTTCACCCAAGACTATGCCTTTTACTCATGTTTTGGGCTTTATTTGGTGGTTTTTGCTTTTTTACTACTTGTACTACTTTTTTTATCACTTGTAGTAGATTTGCATACTTGCTTGTTCTGTGTGTATTTACTACTGTTGATTGTACTGGACATCATTTTGGGGTTGGAATACTAAATTTTGCTCTACAAGGGCCTGATATCCTCCTCTTAGAAACTATATCAGGTAAAAATAAAATTCTTTGTTTTTACATTCATCAGGTCACAATGAGCCCAAATAGCAAAGAGAAATGTAAAAATGCATGCCATGAAAGAGTTTGGGTCTTAGGAGGTTAATTTTAAATCCCATTACATTTTTCAGTAACACAGTAATGTAATGCATTACTGGGCTAAATACAGTAATGACATTATAGTTAGAATTATGATGTTACTTGCGTTACAAAGCTCCTTCAATTATCTGAGGAAGATTGAGCAAATAAACAAATAAATAAAACAAAAGAAAAAGCAAAAAAAAACAACCATGCTTTTTTTCATCCTGTGCCTTTGCGGTCTAATCAGCTGATTTCAGTTTGCGTGCAGGAAGGAAGAAAATAATGATCTATGTCTTTAACTGTGGAGATTATTTTTATTTTTATTGCAAAAAAAGACAAGAGTTAGTGTGGTACTGTAAATATTGGTATCAATACAATACAAAGTAAATATAGGGTCAATACTCCGGATACCAATACTGATACTTTAACCTAACCTAAGAGCAGTGTGTCATGATTTGTGAGATGAATCATCATCAATTTTGACATTCAGAACACATTTTAAATTGCAGCTAAATTGCTGTGATTTTTACTTTCCACAATAACTAACGCAGCAAAACACACATTACAGTTTTTCATATATTTGGAAAATGGTTTTTGTAGAACCTAGAATGTCTCTAAAGCACTTTTGTTGTTTAAATGTGTTATAGGACACAAAAAAGTTTAGACATCTTTCGTCATGCATATTTGTGGTGTATTTTTTCATTTCCAAAAACAATTATTTATTTAACACCATTCAGAGGGCTGCATACAGTATGGAATAGAAACACAGTATTAACCTTTTGATGCTAGTGTCGATCCAATAGTAATGCCAGCATTGGCATCTATATCATTGATATTTGGATCAAGGAGTGAAATGGTATGTCCTGGACAGAAACAGCACACCTTTGACTCTTTGCAAGCATCTGCACAATCCCTGTGGTGACTACTTTGAAGTCTCTTTGGGCTGGCTTTTAACTCTTTGTGTTCTTGGTTTTGTGTTCATGTGCAAACACTAAAAGAAAGATCCTATTTGTCGTCATCAGGACAGGGATTTGTGTCAGTGTGTGGGACTGTAGCCTCAGGTTTATACTGTTAAGTGGCTTGGTAATGCGTAACTAATGTAGCAAACAGCGTAACTGATTACTTTATCTGGCAAGCAATTAAGTAATCTACTACATCACTTTTAAGGAAAGTAATGAGTAATGTGCAAAACTTTTTTTTTTAGTAATGCCTCCGACATTGAAAAAGAGACTCTATAAACAATAAACACTAATAGAAACTAATAGTGGCATTATTGAGCACTTCCACATGAGACTAACGGTAAAACTGTACTCGAATATGACACAATGAAATTGACACTTTTCTACCTTTTTTTTGTCTTGATTCTGAATTGACACTTGAAGCTGTCAAAACAATATGTGAAATTATTCACAGTGGTTTGTTACTCTTATTTATCAGAAAGAGCATTTCTCATTCTTTGTTTGCAAATAATGTTTTAGCACATTTAGGCAAATGACCAGACACAGCTGCTGGGAATTACGACAAATGTCAGTTGGATTTGTTTTTGTCAGCACAATGCATTTTACTGTTTTTCTATAAGATGAGTTTAACTCTCCAAAGTTATTTTTTTCAACGTGCAGGTCATCAAATGTAGAATAGTACAGAAAAGCCGACATTTCATAAATTTTCATAAACTCTTGTTATGGAGTGGCTGATGTGATCAACCAGTAAATTTGTTTTCAGGTGAAACGCAAAGCTTCAAGGAAGGCATATATTGCCCAGCTAGCTTCGCTCCTTCAAGTCACACTACATAGAGACTGTTGCTGACTGGATGTTTGGTAAACTTAGTATTATTTAACTGATTTTGAGTGGTTGCTGGAAGTTTCTGGGTTTGCTGGCAAATTGCTGGCAAGATATGTAGTCCCGGACTAGTTAATTAACGGTTCTGGTAGCTTGCTTGCTATCGCTAGCTTAAATTGGACACAAAGAGATATACGGTGGTGCACCAAAAAACACCTTGCGGTTACTTTGGTTGCTAAGAGATTGCCGCGGTTATTACTTTACAGGTTTAAGTCATAAGTATTTTATTTTTTTTTACAGTTTTATGACACTTGAGAGACACAGAGTTACAATCATTTCTGATTCTGCTCAGAGAAAAACATTGAAGCTAAAGCGTGCCCTTGGAGAAGAAACAGGAGTAATAATGTGTGATATTACAGTATATGAAGGGGGAGACGACACAAAATAGGAAGATGTATTTTGATTTGTTTACCTTTTTGTCTCCTGTTACACTGCAATAGAAAGCATTTAGCATCAGTAGTTTACATGTATTTTTTTCTTTCCTATCCAGTGCTGTGTTATTGTTTTCCATTCTCAATTACATTACTATCCCTGCAAATTTACATGCAAATGAGAGTGCTCTTTTGCCTGACAATGTAAAACGTTGTGCTCCTGAAATCAGCATCTAAACAGTATTCAATTAGCAGTCAGTTATCATAATAATATTCTGGTACAGTGGGCATTCAGCAAGAAGACAAAAAAAAGCAAGACAAGAATTAGGACAAAAGGAGATGAGAAACACACTTCTAGGTTTTTCCAGGCTCATCCTGTTTCCTCCCACAGCCCAAATACAGTATTTTTGGTTAATTAGTGATTCACAATTGGCTGTAGGTGTGGATGTGTGTGTTTCTCCATTATCCCTGTGATGGACTAGCATGGTGTACTCAACATTTCTCCACTGTATGCTGGGAAAGAATCCAGACCCCCCTGGCAACTCTAAGCTGGATAAGGCCCCAATCTCACAGGCTTAGAGACCAGTCGGTGACCCCCTTGCTACTGCTGATGATTTGGAAAAAATGTGGAAGGGTTGCTGGCTGGGTGAAATCAATTGCAAGAATACTTGCTGAATACTAGAATCCCGAGCCTCCTAGTAGATGCACCTATGATATCAATTTCAAAATCCTACGTTGCCTCGTTCTCAACTTATTGCATTCACAAGAGTTTCAGAAAGCCTGGCCTTTGACCTGAAACTTGAGATCGAGGTCACTGAGATTTGACCTCGCCCGGGATTTTTAGTAGAGACACTTGTGGTATCAATTTGAAATTCCTATGTCTCTTCATTCTTGAGATATTGGATTCACAAACATTACCAGATGCAATAAATAAGGAATCTGGAATACTGCATTATGCGAACCATTACTACTCCTTTATTGCATTTTTTCAGCTCTACACCTGCCCCCTAGGATGAGGAGGATGTGCGTGGACTCTTTTTTGCACTACTAAACCGGACGCCATTACCTCCCTGCCTGCTGCCATCGGCATAGCCCGCATTGGCTCTACATAGATTCACCACAGACCTCCAGTAAATGGACTCTGTGACGATGGACAGATGAACAAATAGATAGCCAGCTATAGGCTATTTACAGAAATCCACCTCTATTAAAAAGGATTATTCTGATATTATTTAGACCACTCTTGACTTCTGAATTCCATGTGAAGTTTGCCATATGTGTTTTCTTTTTTAAATTTATACTCTCCAAACTTTAGTTTACATTTCTGACCGATACTCACGATGTTTTCTCGTATACAACCGAGGCCCCCCAAAGACACAGAGAGATTAAAAAAAGCTGTTTTGACAGACTGTGGCACACTCTCTATAAGTAGTACGTTGACTGTGAAACTAGTGAAGTGCACCTTTAAAAATGAAATGCGCTTGATTTATGAATTCAACATTTTCATGCTTTTTTTTTCCCTACTTCAGCTGGAGTCGCTGAAACAGAAATACTGCTGACTGGCTGTCAGTGAAGTGACACCAAATTCATTATGAATTCCTGACATTTTTCTAATTTATCACATGAACACAGCTGTGTACAACGCAATGTCAATGTTTCACTTATTACCTGTCTCTGGATGGCACGTTCCATGCTGGTGGCAGTTGCATGGAACGCATGCCGAGAGAGGCCCTCTAGCAGGCTCTTCCCGGGTAAATCCGGGGGCACACTGTTCACAAAACTGGCCCGCAAAGCCCGGGGGACAGGAACAGGATTCCACCCACAGAGCAGGAGGAAAGGCTGGGTCAGCGGAGACGACTGCTGAGGTCATGGTTACTCCTGCGAGCTGTGATGTGTCTGGCAAGGAAGGAAAAGGAGGAATGTCAAAGATGTTAATACAAATCTTTCTCTGGAATAAGCGACAGGTGCAAGTATGTGTGTGTGTGTGGTGGTGGTGGTGACAGTGGGAGGTCTCTGCATCTTGTTAAGCAGTAGGTTATTAGCATTTGTTGCAGTGCCGTCCCTCTCTCCCTGTCTCATTATAGGTTTTGGCCCGTGTTTACATTTTACAGTCAGATACACACATGCACCCACACATACACACTAACACAATAACCGATTCATCCACCCACACGGCCATAAATGGCGCACTTAATGCTTGCTTACACACATGTGCCTGCACGTGCCCACACACGTACACTTGTGATCCAGGGACTCTTTGATATAGCAAATGAATAAATCACTGCAGCAGAGCAAGACAAGAAAAAAAAAAAACAGACAGGAGACTCTGTGGAGGTATGTCAAACGTGCAGTTCCTGTGGGGTTTTCAAGATCCCGCTCTCCTCTCATGAATAGTGATGGGGGCAGGCCATGCTGAACTGTATCCCTCTCACCCTTTACTGCCTGAGCCACAGCCGCAGAACACAAAATTACTTTTGGTGTACATTACCGTGTCCATTTTCAATAGCCAGACAGACGGACAGATTCTATGCACGTATGACTATGTAGCAGTTGTCAGATAAGGAATAAACCAAGTGTGGATGAGCGACTGCATAATGACCTGAGTGGCAGAAACGGCGAGGGGCGAGACAGTGGAAGAACCAGAGGAGAGGATGGACCTTGACATCTAACAAGCCATGATTCAGAGATTCCTTGAGCGGTGATGAAAGACGGTTCATTTACACCTCTGAGGGATAATCAGTAGGCAAGCCGGTCCTCTTCCCTTTCCGCGACTTGCCTTAGCCTCTACCCTTTACTCTCCAGTAGCTCCTGAATTCTATTAGCTCGTTCAACGGGTGGAAATGTGCAATTAAAAGAGTTTTCAGATACTGAAGCCTATATTTCGGTTAATTAAAAGCCTTCCATTTTAAGTCGTGCTGTGCAAGTTCTCTCCATCAATCCTTTTTCTGCAGGAAACCTTGTCAGAGCAGTCGAGATTTTACTTGCAACGAATGACTTTACTGCAGCCTGGCAGACTCTGACAATTTAGGTCCCCTTAGGCGCCTGTACATTTAACCATTAAGCCATTGATTTCCCATAAACTTTAAATATGGCCACACTTGCTTTTCAAACCTAATTTTTTTTGTGGCGGGGAAAATAAAAGCTCTTTACTGCGACTGCCATCGCAGCCTTGCCTTAACAACCTAAAGACAATACTGTCACTTAAGTAATACAGTTCTGTTAATAACAGACTCTCTGTGGTGCAGGGAGAATTTTAAAGAATGAAGGAAAATGTGAGAGGCAGAGATGAGAATGATGAGAGGACAGCTTTATGGGGTTTGGATATTAAAGTTTGTTGCACTGCCTGCAGCGATAAAGCACTTCTAACACTGTTTGAGAATGAGTTTGAGACCTAACACAAGTCATTAACAGTTTCTCCCCCATAATGTGCAAAAGATGCGGTGTAAACTGTGTGCTTGACTTTGATACCACGTTCATGTGGGTAGGTAGGTGGGTGGGTACAGAAAACAGTTTGATGGAATATGCATGAGTGTGCCTGTGTGTGTGGGTTTTTTTTTCTTTTTTGTGCCTAAACGCCATGCATGTGGAACTACATAAGAGTCTGTGTGGTGACGCCTGCACCAAGCAGCTAATTAAAATGGTGTAAGTAAGTGTGAGGAAGCTGGTGATTTTGTCCAGCTGTTCTGTCTCCTCCACGCTTTAATCCACCGTAATGCCTCTCAGATCCCGCTGGTTCATTACAATACAAACTATCAAATTTCAAGAACTCATCCAAAACATCTGGGAATAAATGTCCCGTTCTGTTGCAGAGCCAGATAGGGGACAGTTGAACGATTCCTCGAGCACAAACACCAACACCAATTTACTAGCAAGTTCTGCTGCAGCTTGAATAATGTTTTCCTGTCTGGTTACAGAAAACGGTCATAAAAAATAATGATTTCAGTAATTTTGTAGGCCTCTAAATGTTGGCATTATTTGTAAATAGTGCTTTCAGAAAAATAGATTTGATAGATTTTATTTGCTCCTACAGCACATACACATGACCACCCATTTAAGGCTCCAGTGTAAGTCATGTAAAAATGCATTGGATATGCTTATTGGGACAAGTTCATAAACAATAACCAACACTTACAGTTGTGTCCCCCAGCATTGCTGATCTTGAGAGCCGTCAGGTTGTAAAGGAGGAGTTGGAAGTCAAAGGCCGAAAGCGCAGGTTTAAATCTCTTCTCGTTTTCATCAAGCCTGTCAAGAAGAAAAACAGCAAACGTGTCATTTATTTAATATTTGCTAAAAGGCCTGCAGGGCTTTATCAAGATTTTAATTTCGAATGTAGTGACCTGTCGAACTAATTTTAAAGACTGTTGGGTCAACATGACACATGAAACACATGCAAATGGAGAACATTGCATGGCATTTTTAGGGGGGAGATAATATTAACCTATTATATATGAAAATCCAAAGAATTGGGATTTATAATAAATGATTTCTAAAAACATATAGATGTTAAGATTTGCTGACAATGTTCATTCATTCAATCATACTGGCTCACCCAGACATATATACACAGAGACATATGTTACAAGTAAAAAGAGATTTGTGTCCTACACATACAAAATATGATTAATCTAAACAATTCGATCAACTGTCTTATTGCCTCTTGTGATAGATCATATGATCCTTGCATATGTCTTGACCGTCTATGTCAGTTTACATCATGGCAACCAACTCTTTCTTGAGGGTTTTCTTTCTCCAGAGATGCTGTTTTTTTTGCACAAGCTCTTCAGGTTTCTTACACTTGTTTTCACATTGTTTATGTGCTAAAAGAGAAATGATTTAAACCAGTTTTGAAATGTGATTTTACTAATTCATGAGCTCAAGGCACTTTGTCAAGATAGCCATGCAGTAGAGGTTACACTTTGACTTAGATTGTCAGCTTTGTTCTTCATATTTCAACTTGTAATCTTTTAAAAATATTACAACCTCAATCTTAATACTTTTAGTTCATTTTCCACATTTAACTTTGTTCCCTATGTTTCCCATAATGTGCCCCTAAAAGTTTGTATGAAACACAGAAAACAATTCAAAAAAGAAAACAACCGAATGTAAATATGCTGACTTCAACATATATTCAGGGTCTTCATCACAGAGATTTGCCATCTGTTGGAGGATGTTCTGCTAAGGCAGTCAGCACAGCTGACATCTGCCTGTTTTACTTCTGGCATCACGCGTACTTTCCATCTTGATGACAGGTGCTGTGTCAGCTCTGCGCCGTGTTGTTGTGTTGAAAATTTTTCACCCACTATTTCAAGGTCCCAAAGGTAAGGAACAGATGGATTAAGTGATATATTCATATACTCTCCATTAAGGAATGACTTACAGGTAACATTGTCTAATATGTGGGACTCAGCACTGCATCATTACCAAATGGTGTTTCCCATTAATAAAAAATATGCTCCATTAGTCAAGCTATCGAGTCTGCGGTTACCAATACATGGAATTTAACCCACTAAACATTTTTATAGTACAGAAAATACCAAGGATGAAATAGCAAGAATTACACCTATTTTAAAGCTATTGCTTTAAAATTTAATTTGAATGTCCAAAACTGATATTAGCTTTAAAACCATTAGATACCTGTTTTAGAATACGAGGGTTGCTTAATTCATCCAACACCATCACCAACCCTAAAAAGTTTAACTTGTCCAACACTTTAACTTATTCTGAAAATATCACCTTTGTATTAGCCTCAGCTTTAATTTGTGTACCAACCAAGGACTAAAGAATATAGTACACATTGAAGTGCCAAGAAGCGTAGTTCCTCAAATGGACAAATGAACAAATATGCAGTCTGTGGCCAAACAAGCTTGCTAGCATTAAGTGAAAACTTAGCTTTAACCATGTCCTAATATGGTCATTTCCAGCTCCAAAAATTAAACAGACAAATAAACAGGAAACATACATGGAAATACTGTGTTTAAAGCAAAAACAAAGTTTGTACAATTCTAATAAGCTTGTGAGTTAATATTTGGAATACTGACATATAAGTAAAATAAAAGCCGACACACTGAATTTAATATTGTTTATTTTATGTTTGTTTATTTAATTGTAATTCTGAGCATTTTGTGGCTTTTGGTGTTTTGGGAAACTAAAAATAATAATCAAAATTCAATAATAATGATGATAATAATAGCCCTAAGGCCTTATGATTTCTTTCTAGTGACTCTTCCACTGAGAGCATTTGGGATGAAGCTTCACAAACAGTAGATGAATAATTTGAAGGACCAGGTGCATCTCTCAGGTTTTTTGCCAGGTCATTACTGAGTTGAAAATTGTTTCCCTTGTTAGCTAAATATAAAGAAATGGGGACTGATTCAAGACCTTTGCACAATACTCAATAAATAATTAAATAAATGAAAGAGCAATTGCAATAAAGCTAAAATATGGGCTTCATATTTGGAGTGAACAAACTAGTGGATGGCTTTTATCTTTTACAGTATGTGTTCAATGTTAAAAACAGCGCCATGCCTTTTCAAAGCTAGTGTCATTGTTCACGCTTGTTTTAAAAAAGAATAAACACGATGGTTGTGCCCCTTTCTGTCTTTTTTATTTGAAATTGGTAATACATTATAAAATCAAAACCTTGTCATCACAGACAAGAACCTTAAAAGAATGAGTTGCCAAACCTTTGGTTTGTTAACCATATCAGGCTAAGTCAGGCCTTTTATGTGCAAGTGTTTGAGGGCCTCTATTTTATTAGGTCAATTGTTCTCAGCATGACACTAGCTCACTTTGAAAATGCTTTGTTTTCTGCCTGGCCTGGGTTGTAACATTCAGATTCACACTGTGCATGTTTATGCGTGTGTATGTGTGTGCGTGCGTGCATTCCTGGCTTGCCACACACTCTCGCCGGATGCGGCGGGTCCTTGTTCCCTGGCCTGACATGTAGGCACAGTAATAAAGAGAGGCAATTACAAACTGGGCCTCAAAGCCATGGTAATGGAGCTGGTCAGACAGCGATAAGCAGAGTGTGCATGAAAGTGAACAAACTCCCAGTCATGCTTTCCCCATGGAGCGTCAGTGTCCTTTTTAATCAGCACCAAGCAGAGCGCGAAGAGCCACACTGTAATTAAGGCTGCTCCATGGAGGATGAGAGGAGATCATCAGGAGAGAAAAGCCCAAAAGAATAGCGGGCACACACAAACACACACGAGCACACACAAATGCCCTTAGAGAGGACAGATAGAGATACAAGGTGAGCAAGATAGCAAGACACAAGCAGTGTATAAAAAACAGAGGAATGATGAAGTACATGACTGCAATGTAGATACCAAAAGATACAGGCATACATGTGGGAACATGTTATGAGCTATCCAATTGTGCCAATTTCTCGTTGTCTAATTAAAGTAACTAACTATGAGGTTCATTTTAATTACTAGGAATACAAATACATGACCCAAAAACTGGCATATTAAACCCAAGTTACTTGGAGTAAATGATGGTTTCAGACCAAGCTATGTTCTGCAAACACTCAAAGATATTTACAATATATGCTTGTAATGGAATAAAATAAAATATTTATGTATTTTGGAAGAGAGTGAGAGTGATGTTATAGACTATAAAAAATAGATGTAGCCATCATTTAGTTGCAAATTGGTTTGTGGACTTGCAGTTCTGATTTGAGCATTTAGGCCACTAAGGGCACTCAACTCTAACAACAGCGATCCCCTTGTTGCCATTAGAAAGGATGCCTGGAGGCTAACACCGTGTATATACTCAGTGTGGGTCTGTGACGCAGATTTGTTCTTTAATATTTCTTCTACGCCTTCTGCACACCAGAAACATTTCAGAAACACAGCATTTCGTTTACACAAGGTCTTTTATTTTGAAAATTTCCTGACCCATATGCCTTTCCAAACTATACGGTTGGTGCTGTGAGGTAGAGAGAGCCATGGATTTACAAGCATTGAAATATGATGCAGCTGGCCCCAGTGGAAATCACATATACGCCCATCTTTTATATACAGTCTATATGAAGTTTCTCAAACAGGACTGAAGAGGGTCATTGTATCATAAATAAGCCAAAACTACTTTTCACAAGCATTCATCTATGTAGTTTGTTGAAAGACTACTTTTAGCATTTAAAATGGGGAAGAGCTGATACTTTATGTTATGAATTGCAAGGGCTTGGCATCTTATCACATGAATATTAAGCTTACATGGTGAAGATGTACACAAAGCGCTACAGGCAAGTCAATAAAACCTCTCCGCCTACTAATTTCAAAGGAACAAAAAGTGAACATGGAGAACATCAGAGAGAAGAGTGAAAGCTACCTCATATAAGCCATTCACCCCCCTCCTCTCATCAATCCCCTCCGCTTGAATCCCTGAGCTTCCATATATTTCTTCTTCATCTGATTCCGAAATGATCTCTGCTATCAAGTGGGAACACAAAGCCACTTAACAGGTTAAGATATTTATCATTTCTGAATGCAGATGCTGTCACTCAGGAGAGATTTGGCGCGTGTGTTTATGCTCATGTTTATTTATGCTTTCGCCGAGCTTTGGCAAAAACACTTAGAAGCACATATATTTCCACTTTCTGAGCGCAATTATTTTTAATGCTTGTATTGCATCTAATTGTTGCACATAAAAAAATAAAAAGCTAAACTATTTGTGTATGTATGTGCGAAGAGAAATCGAGGGAATGATACAGCGAAGTGCAGCGAAGTGCATCTAAGCATGTACCTGACAAGAGTAATAAGTTCTGTGGAGAACTGTGGAGAAGAACATTTAATCACTGGCTCTTTCCCCAAGCTCCACTGCATTTCAGAGAGAGGATCAACAAGTCCCTTTAGCCAGGGCTTTTGGTGGTAAGAGAAGAGTCATTACTGGTGCACAGACACCAGTGATAGGCAGGGAAGAATTGGACAGAGAGTCACAAGCAGTGTGCCAGACGAAGGGCTGAATCCTTTTTTGATGGACTGGGCAAAGAAGACATGCTCTTCTCAGCTTAAAAAACAAGGGTAAACCTAAGCCACTGTTCCATAATAAGATTACACACAAGAACCAGAGTACAGATAAGAGCTCCCTTTCAAACCAAACAGATCTTAGATGTACCAATATTGTAGATCACTGTCAACTTATAAAGTCAAATGTTTGCAAGTTTATCATGTAACTGTAACTGCACTGTGAGTCAAAAAGAAGTCAAGAAAGAATAAAAACTGGAGCATCATGATTAGTAG